CCCCCCCCCCCAAGGAAGAGAGAAAGAGAGAGAGACGAAGGCATATTTGCCTTTATGTATGTTACATTTTTTATGGTGCTCATCTTGTCTGAAATGGTCTGAAGGGATTCCTGCCTGAGGAGGGGGTTGAACTATATGACCTCCACGGTCCCTTCCGTCGTTCTGTTCTATGAAATCTCCCCTACAAGGGGACTCTGGGTGGCTTACAGGTTATGATTGGAAACGGAATATATTGAAATCTCCTAATATATTTAAGTGTATATTTTACATATGTGTGTGTGTATATATATATGTGTGTGTGTGTGTGTGTGTGTGTATAAGAAAGAGAGGCCCCCAAAGGAAGCTGCTGTCCTCCTCCTCCCCCCAACCTGCCACCTTCAGCTTCTATTTCTTAGAGGTTGCAAACAGGACAAAGAGTCATCAGCCGCTAAAGAAAACAATATCCCTTTGCATTGGAGAGCAGGATTAATTCATGAGGGCTGCAGAAAAAGAGAAGGGGAAGAAAATTAGAATATAAAGAAAAACTTTACTGTAAATAACATTTTTTCTTCCCTTTCAGCCCCCCAACCCCCAAGGCAGGCCCACACTGCAGGGGGGTGGTTGACAGGCAGGGACCCATAGAGGAAGAATCTGCCCATTTCAGGGAGGAAAAGGCTGGGAAGGACCAGGGATTCCTCCCCATTTCATCTCCAGGGGATTCTGGGATTCTCCCTAATTGTCTTAATTAGAAGGTTAATCAATAGGGGAGACCCCCCCTCTCTCCTCCCCCCTCCCCCCTGCGGACGTTTCATGTAAACAAAGAAGATGGGGCCAGGTGGGGGTGGCAGCAAAGTGGGGAGCCTGTGGGTCACTTGGCCAGAAATGGTGTGAATTCCCAGAAGGAGAAGAGGGGTCAGGAAGAACTGCCTGTCAAGGTTTATTTATTTATTTATTTTATTTATTTATTTGATTTGCCAATTGTTTACAAGATAATAAGTATAAGTGTATACATAGTTGTGAATACATGAAATGGGTACATATAAGAAAAATAAAAGAAGAATAAGAGAAACAATAGGACAGGGACGGTAGGCACGTTGGTGCGCTTATGCACGCCCCCTACAGACCTCTTAGGAAAGGGGTGAGGTCAATAGTAGACAGTCTAAGGTTAAAGTTTTTGGGGTTTGGGGAAGAAACTACAGAGTCGGGTAGAGTATTCCAGACATTGACCACTCTATTGCTGAAGTCGTATTTCCTGCAATCAAGTTTGGTGCGGTTTACTTTGAGTTTGTATCTATTGTGTGCTCTTGTGTTGTTATGGTTGAAACTGAAGTATTCATTGACAGGTAGGACATTGCAATGTATGATTTTATATACCATGCTTAAATCAGACCGAAGACGGCGTAATTCAAGGTTTTCTAGTTCTAGAATTTCAAGTCTGGTGGCATAAGGTATTCTACAATGAGTGGAGGAGTGGAGAACTCTTCTTGTGAAATATTTCTGGACTTTCTCAATTGTGCTAATATCAGATATGTAATGTGGGTTCCAGACTGATGAACTGTATTCGAGTATTGGTCTAGCAAATGTTTTGTATGCTCTGGTTAGTAGTGTGATATTACCAGAGAAAAAGCTACGTAGGATTAGGTTAACAACTCTTAATGCCTTTTTGGCTATGTAGTTGCAGTGGGCTCTAGCACTTAGATCATTAGAGGTGAGTATTCCAAGGTCCTTTACAGAGCTTGGGTCATCAACAAGATCTTGACTATTCAGCTTGTATTTTATTTTCTGATTTTTTTTGCCAATATGTAAGACAGAGCATTTATTTGTTGAGATTTGAAGTTGCCATTTGTTTGACCATTCTGATACATAGTC